AAGCGAAAATTTTAAATTTTGCCTTCACAACTAACTGAAATAAAATAATTTTAAGTTTTTTATATTCTGTTTTATTTCTGTTAAATATTTCATTTATTTTAATTAATGTATTTTTGTTAGTTAATGATAACACTAACATTACTTTAAAACTACACCAAAACAAACCCTTAAATAAATAGAGAACTATATAGAAGTTTTACACACTGAAATGACATGCAAAACACTTTCTGTCTCCGCAGGAATAGACACAGGCAATGTTTCCTGGTCAAGGCCGGAAGCATCAGACTGGCATCATGTGGCTCCAGGAGAGACCATCAGCACTGACTGTCAAAACTGGTACAGTGGGCTTTTTCTTCTTTTTGCACGATTTGTTTAGTGTCAAAGTGAGCTTATTAAACACTAAGGAAGTCATTGTCCCTCACCTTAATGGGCTGTATACTGTCTACAGAGGCATAAATATAAAATAAAAAAAAGTAAGGAAATGCAGCTCACTAGACACCGAAACAAAGATATAATTGTTTCTTTATCTCTGTGTCTGTATGTTTTTCGATCCTTTTTTCCAGCACCTGTGAAGCAGGTGTCCTTCAGTGTGACTCAGTTCCTGGTTGCCATGTCGACGGCAGCTGGGGCCAATGGGCTCCCTGGTTGGAATGCTCCGCCCGGTGTGGAGGCGGGGTTAAGATCCGGACACGTGAGTGTGATAACCCCGCCCCTCAGAGCGGCGGCAGAGAGTGTGTGGGATCCGGCCGACAGCAGACAGCCTGCAACACACACAGCTGCACAGGTGAGTCAGTGTGACCGATGCCACCTTCCACATACTCTATATAGAGTGCAGAATCTCTGTATTTTCTGTCTGTATGATGACTCCTGTAGACTCTGGTCCGTGGTTCGACTGGTCAGCGTGGTCAGCCTGCACCGTCAGCTGTGGAGGAGGGTCTCAGAGCCGTAGCCGATCCTGCCGAACACCACCCTGTTCGGGCATGAGACGCCAGAGCAAGACCTGTAACACACAAGTGTGTCTGGGTACGACAAACACTCGATCAGCTCTCCCTCTGAGCAGTCAGTCATAATAATAATAGTTTTAGGAAGCTATTTTCAGAAAAAACTTCTTGCAAAACTTGTCATAAAACATGTCCAGGTCATACTTCCCACCAAAATAAATGATATTTTGCATAAAGAAAACAAAGCTTAATTTTGGACGCTTAAGTCTAAATACATAATGCAAAATAAATAATGCAACAAAAAAAAACTGCCTGTTTTTAGGACCATTAAGATCAGTGTGATTGCGGCTTAATGCAAAAATAAACAAATAAATGCAAAGTAAGTAAAAAAAAATCTGTGTGATTTGGACTTGATGCAAAACAAACAAACAAACAGACAAATAAATAAAATAATGCAAAATTAAGGAGACGAAGCATATTTTATGACCATTAAGATGGTCAGAGTGACTGGGGCTTAATTCAAAAATAAAAAATAAATAAATAATTCAAAACAAACAAATAATGCTAAATAAATAAACAAATGAATAAATCAATGAATGACCAATAAATGAATTATCTCATTTTATTCCTTGGTAGAAATATAAAAGTTGGAAAAAAAAAAATGTATAAATACAATGAACTTCTGAATGAAGTGTTAACCAGCCTGTTAGATGCTATTTTTATTCTTTCAACCCATTACTAAACTTGCACACAAAGGATTGTGGGATTTCACAGGCAGTAAAGTCCCTTCAAAAAGCAGCCAGATGGAGAAATTACAGGATACTTGAGTCAAATTGACTTTAATGGCTTCCTGCCTCTGCACACAGCAGCTTTTTAGTGTTACAGACACGGACCAGGATTTCAAAGCAGCTTAAATCCTTCATGAAATTGGTTTGTTTTCTTCTCAGAAAGCATTTTAAAATCATGTTTGTTGTGAAACACGATGTGAGGGCTTCAAGAACATACCTCAGATTCATCCTGTGATTATATATTGAACCTTCCTCCATGAGCGGTGATCCTGTGACAGCAGGAAGTGCTCTCAAACAGGTAGTTTTGTGGACTGTAAGCCCCATCTAATTAAATATTCAGTGAGCGTGAAGGTCTCAGAGCTCCGGATAAGACTCTGTCCTCATTTAAAAGTGAAATGTCCCAGCATCCCCTGTGATCTTCTCTCCAAATCCCCTGCAAATTCACATCAGCCATTTTTAGAGATCTGTTACGAGAAAAGTGCCTGTCCTTGAGCCGTATTCTGTGTGCATTTGCATATTTCAATATTTTAGCTAGTGTTTGAATTGTATAATGACTTTCAGGGGGTTTTGCTTTATGGCTCATTCTCATCAAATAGTCATTTTAAAACAAACTCTGACTGCTTTTCTTATATGTTGTGTGTGTGTGTGTGTGTGTGTGTGTGTGTGTGTGTGTGTCGGTCAGCCAGTGTCGGCTCCAACCCCTGTTCCCAAGTCAAGCCCAGAGAGGGTTTGCTTTGCTTGTTTGTACAACTGCACAATTTGGCCAAAATTTTGTGATCATAAATAAATATGACTATTAAATAATAAATTATTAAATATTAATCATTAATAATGTGACATGTCAATAACGATTACGGTTATAATGTAAAAACTCTTGTGTGATATAACTTGTGTTTGTTTGTTTGCTGGTATTTATTGTATTTTTATACTTTTATTTTTTTTAAATTATTTTTGCCATGAAAATAGCCTTTGATGCTGACATGGCATTAAATAAATATATACTGCTATACCTGATTATTGTTATTGCTAAATAAAAATATTAAACTAAATAAATAGTACTATTGTAATGTTTAACTGTTAAATAAAAATGGTATTTAAATAATTATAATAATAACAGCAATAATAAAATTGAGCATATAGTCATAATTTCATCGTTTTTCATGGGACTCTGTGAGACTATTTGAACTAAAATGTTGTAGATCTTAATTTTGATCTCTCAAAATGCACCAGATTCATGCATTTAACTTTAAAACTAAAAATTCATCATCATCACCACCACCATCATCATCATCATCACCACCACCATCTTCATCATCATCACCATCACCACCATCATCATCATCACCACCATCATCATCATCAGCACCATCACCACCACCACCATCTTCATCATCA